GGAGGGAACCTTGTCCTTTATTTTCTAAAGCACTTCTCCAGGAGGCATCCGCAGAAAAAGGGACAGCTCAGGCTTGGGAGCAGCACATCCCTCCAAGAAAGAGGGGTCAAAAGTTCACAAAACACAAACCAGAGGAGCCAGAGAGGTTTGGAACAGAAACAACTAAACACTGTCAGCATTTAGCACAAGCAGTAACTGGGCAATACTGTAGATGGCTATAAAACTCTAAGGCAAACCTGCTCCAACAGCTCTAGTAGCAAAGAAGCAGCCTTCTGAAAAAAAAATAAATACCAGGAAGACTTTTTTGGTATTTTTCCTTTTTATATCCACAATGTAACATCTGCTATAGCATAATCCCTGCCATTGCCCTTGAAGATCAAGGCCTGCATCCTTAGGAAGGCTGCAGTAACTAGTCAAGAGGAGTCAGCACACAGTCCTGTAACCGGATGCAAGTGTCAGTAACAGTCCGTGGTTCTAACCAGACTTGAAGAGGAGAATAGCGACTTGGCCGAGGTAGAAGTAGATGAAGTGCTTGGTCTCATGAGTCACGTAGCTGCCAAAGTTTCTTCCCACGATGCAGTGCCAAGTGGGATTGTATTTCTTGTCAAACTCCTGCAGGAGAGAGAACTAGGAATTAAGAACTCTTCTAAACAGGTATTCAATTTCTGAGCAAGGCAATTAGAGGAAGAGCAGATGCTCTTTAAGACTAGGATTATCTTATTTACATCTTATTGTTCACCTGCTGCTTAGACAAAAAAATAAATCCACAAAAAAAGCACCACAGTGCTTCCCATCTAAACTGACTACAGCTTAAAACAAGAGTTTTGTTCAGGGAAAGAAGCCTTTCTCCCCCCCGCCTGTAATTCATACCATGACCTGAAACTGTAGCCCTGGAGTAAAAGCTTCACCACTGGTTTTATACCCACAGAGATTAAGCTATAAATTAGATTTCATTGTCCATCTACAACGTGGGTGCACAAGGGACTCACTGGAAAATTCTCTGCCACGTGCTCTGTAACACCAGCACTACCAGCAAATATAAGACTGTTTTCCACATTTCAAACAAATCCCCTAAAAATTTTCAATAGTTGCTACAAAGAATACCTAAAAAAAAAAATAGTCTAAACTCTTTTCTACTGTCATAGACACTTCCTGCATCTGGGGAGAAAAATGGCTCTCTGTATTGTGAGCAGAGCAAACCAGTATTTCTCTAGTGGAGGCAATCATTCTGCTTAGTTGAATTACTTTTTAAAACGGCTCTTCCACACAGATCAGTTTAACTTCCACTGACGCTCTTTGATTTCTCCATTCTCCCGAGCTGATGAAGCAGGAAATATAATCAGAACTAGATCTTTCCCATGTTCAGTATCGTTAATCCTACATAAAGAATGACACAGACGTTGCAAACAACAGATTATCAGTGCCACCAGGACTTTTTTTTTCTTTTGTGCTTACATCACTACATAAGGGCTACATTACATTAGACTCGCAGAAAACTACTTCTGTTCAGGTGGGTCAAAAGTTGCAGGGAGAACTGTGAAAGATACTTCACTAAATTCAAGAAAAATGAAACCAAGGACTATGTAAAACAGGTTTCGTCTCAGAGGAAAACTGTAACAGAGCTCAATAGAGCCCCTGTCTTTGTACCAGCTCAGTCACAGGGACAGTCACCTGCACTTGGACAACGGGACAGTGGCTGAAAAGGCTTAAGTAGAAGGTACTGCAAATGAAAAGCAGAAGGACCTGGAAAAGTCCACGGAAAGGGTGGGGAAAGGAACACAAGGACACCAGCCTACAGAGAACATCCAACTTGATTATCTAGTGTCTCTAGAACTCGTTTCTCTAGAGCTACTTGCCCAGCAGCATTCTCCCCGCTCGATTTTCCATGTGCATGGAGATTTCACGAGGACATTGCAAGCAACCATTTACCTTCTTGATGTGAGCAGCAATGTCCTTCTCGATGTTGTACTTCTCCAAGGCCTGAGTAGCACACTCCACAGCATCTTGCTGCATCTCTTCGGACATGTCCGCATTCTTGATGACTGCCTTTCGATCACTCATGGTTGCCTGTATCGAGCAAAGAGAACTCAGTGTTGCAGGAACAAGCACCAGCCGGGCGGTTTCACACCCCGTCGGCACCAGCAGCCCCCCAGCCCCTCTCCGGCTTGGCACAGGCCGGGAAGAGCCCCAGGAGAGGGCGCAGCCGCTCCAGCCCCGACGG